CTTGTAACTCGATATCTATCCGAAATTTCACTTAAATATCTTTTCGGACTACATGTATGTCATTGAGACACATCTTGTTCTCAATAGACTCGTGTTCCCAAACTCATTATCGAGAACATATATAGTCCATACGAGTCTATGACAACCTATATTTGGTTATCTATGTATTCAAGACTTATATATTCTAAAGGTATCAACATTGAGAGAACTCCATTAACTGATATGTTGTAGTTAGCCAACACTCTTTCCAAAAGAAAATACGTAAGTTGGACTGTATATCTCAAACCCCATCATATTAAGCAATATTTCATTTCTTCAATCAAATATACCATATAATTATTGGTGATTAATGAATAGTCTATCAAATAAGAATCTCTTTCATTATATCCATCATTGATATCTCGTGATAGAGATTCACGCTATCAAATAGTTCTTAAAGTCTTCAGTTCGATAATCTTTTTATTTTACTCGACTTTAGAAATGTCTAAATCAATACAATATCTTCAACTTAAGAAAATCATAGGCGCATTTGAAAATGCATGAATTCATCTATAAATATAACAAAAAAATTAAATTCTATCTCTATCTCTCTTAATCATAGATCGCAAAAAAATTTGGATGGATTTATTCTACGGAAGTTTAGCTCTTACAACTTTGAATGATTTTCTCAACTCAAAACTTCAAATCATCCAGAACCATAGTAAACATCACCACTGTGAGTACGAACAGAACTACCATGTATAAGTTTAAGCAAGAGACCACTCTTCGAAGAACGTTAATTGAGATCAAATTCAGTGGAGTCTTTGCTATTATCTTAATATCGAATAAGAGGTCAGTTTATCCACTTTGCAATACTAAGATGCAGTATCAGTCATATAAACATCCACTTCATCTTCATTATTTGTATATATCTACTTTGTATCAAGTCAAAGACTAGACAATAGAATAATATACATTTTGATCTCATATAAAGTGGGTTTCTAACTCTTGAATTCACTATCCACACAAGATAAAATCCAATGTGTATAATGTTAACACATAAACAGCACTAACAGGAATATATTCAAGTGCAATATCCCTTAACTTAACCACTTTCGAGCTAAGATATTCAAATCATATAGTTGAAAAACTTGAACCTTTATAACATTGATCCTCTATCAAAAACACTTTCATTCACTTACTATCTGTTATGTTGTTCTTGGTCCCTTTTTTAGTTTTCTCATCTATCCCATATTTGTTCTAGCTCATTTACTACTTAAGATTCAAAATCTTATGCAAGCTAGAACAGTACTACATAAGCATGTCCTTGAAACTTAACAACATCAAGTCGCACGTCTTTCAACTCACACAGGGGATAGTGTCGATATAGAAAATTGACATTTCAATTTGTTAAGTCACAATGACATTTAAAGTTCTCATAAATTGAGAATAGATTAGTTTGAACTTACTACTTATATAAAAATAATGTGACCAACGAAAATGTATACACTATGTTAACCATCAACTAAGTCACATTCGAGAAAAAAATTATTTATATCAGGACTTAACAATTCAAATGTTCAAGTACTAGAATTTATTTATTCTTGTACTTAAGGAAATTTTGATCTTTGTTCTCTAGAATAGTATGACCTACATAAGGTCTTTTATTGTTGGTTGATGCTCTCTAAAGCATCATATCCTTTTAGTTCACTCAAAATCTTATCATGCCAAAAGTTATCGCATTTAACTTATCATCTTTATTAAGGTCGACTATTATAGATTTTGATACCATGATCTATCGGATTTTTAGAGACATTTTATTCTCAACCAATGCCCAATGTGTGTGTGTGTGTATTTAATTTTGCATTAACTCAAATTAACGTATATAATAGTTCAACGTTAGGCACAGAGTCGAAAGTTCATTATGTTTCCAATCATCTTCCGCAATCCTATTGTTTCACTATCATAAACTTAATTTCATAATGTAAAATTCCATGAGTTCTAAATGAGAATTACATTAATTATTCCAATTTGAGAACTCCCACTTAGTTGGTGAATCAAATAGTTCTAGGTGAAATTTTCTCTAAATCTTTCAATTACTAAACTATCACTCAACTGACAATCAATATGTCTAAGTAAGAATCTCATTAATTCTACCGATCTTAACATTTATAACAATATATGAATTAACGGATAAAATATATTCAATTAAATAATTTCTTAATATGCAATAAAATCATAAATATGCACATTTATCCAATTATGACATGTATTATGATGTAACAAATTAATTCTTTCAGAAGATAACTTCAATTATAATTCAAAAATAAAACTAACACAATTTAAGTTATATTTTACAAAATTTCAATCCCATTTAAATCTATGTTGCAACATGGTCTTAACAAATGAGTTGGGTTCAGAACGTCGTGTGACTATTAGGTCCATATCCAGTGTGGGCGTTAGAGATTAGGTATTGTTTCTCCAATAGAAGTGACATCAAAATTTTCATATTCTACTTGTCGTAAAAAAATTATGTCCAAAAATATTCACGTGTTCCACATTAGGTTACGTTCTAAATCCATTTATTTATATCGATAAGCACAAAACTTTTCAACAAGTTCCATACCATTTGATTCTCTAGCATTCTTTCTAAGGATGCTATAAATGTGCGTAGATCCAGTCATATCTGATCAAGCACAAAAAATTTGAAAAAAGTCATAATGGATCACATAAACTAATCAAGACCCACACAACTCATGAACGTATATAAAATGTGGTATTTTAAATATTTTCGGAGTATTTTTCTTTTAGAAAATGAAACACTTAAAAAAAAAAAAAAGAACTCATCAGGCAAATGTCACTTTACAAATATTCTTAATCTTTATAAAAAAAATTAGAATTTAATCGAATCCAAAAAATATTTTTGATTATCTGAAAATTAATTTTAAATGTACATAAGAGAAAATCAAGAATATTCAAGGGACTAATTTGAAAATTTCTAAATTTCATTTGAAAGTCAAATGCAGTTTTATTTGACTTTTCAATTTTTTAACCTTTTTTTAATAACAAAAGTGGGGCACTGAACGTCCATTCGCAACGCTTATTAACTGGAAAAAATTTCGTTGATTCATCCTTATAATCAATTTTGACATTCTGAGTTAATATGTGTGGTCATATTTTATAATATCAATTTTTAAGATCGTATCCTGGACTCAAACAGATCTGATCAAGACTAAAAATCGAAAAGAAAATTTATTGTTCATCGTTAAAAAAAGGACAAAATTTTCATATTTTTATCAATATTCCGGGAGGCCATAACTTTTTCATTCCAAGACCAAAATTTATGTTCTGGAAAGGTCTCGAGAAGATCTATCCAACATTCCAAATGAGCATCACGAAACAGTGTAGAAGAAGTTATTGCGTGATGAAATTTCAGATTTACCATTTTTTACGCAAAAAAATAAGATTTATGGTCCAAGGCCAAAATTTATGTTCTTTATATCATTGGAAAGGTCTCGAAAAGATCTATCCAACCAAAGCAAGGACATCATGAAACACAATGTGGAAGAAGTTATCATCTAATGAAGTTTCTGATTTTACAAATTTTCACTAAAAAAATCATATTTATATCTAAATTTCGAGATGCCATAACTTTCTCATTTCAAGCCCAAAATTAATAATTCTTGTATCGTTGGAAAGATCTTGAGAAGATCAATGCAATTATACCAAATGGACAGTATGAAACTTAAAGTATAAAAAATATCACGTGATAAAGTTCAAAATTTTATCAAATTTCATGCAAAAAATTCATATTATCATCCAAATTTCAAAACCGTATAATTTCTTCATTTTAAGTCCAAAATTTAAGTTCTTTATACGGTTGAAAAACTTATGAGAAGACCTCTCTAATAATCATACTAATCTTACTGCATGAAGATGAATGAACAGATTGCAGTAAATTATCAAATGATGTTACTAGATATCACATAAGGTTTCAAAACTTTGCATAGAAGATTCATAACCCAAATTGTATAATATAATGGCATATTTAAGCATGAATTATAGCAAGGAATTCAACCCTATGGCTTTGATACCAATGTAAGAAATCGTAGTATATTTTGACATAAATTTCGGGTCAAGAAACTTACTTAAAATGATGAATTCCAATATCTTTGTATGATTGAACTACTTTACTATCTAAGCATCAAAATCTGTATTTTCTAGTACTTCATTGGTCCAAATCCCAATCACAGTGGAAGGGGATTATTATTCACAATCTAAGTGCCAATTTTTGTAAGATTTATGATAAAAATATGGTTCTTAGGACTTTCCAATTTTGGTGTGAATTTCCATACGAAATTTCAATTCTTTTTTTTTTTTTATGCCACCACTTTTTTTCTTTTCTCCATAATTTCTATATGAAGATTATAAGGAGTTATTTTGGGAGTTTTAGATTTAAATTCTAAATTCAAACCACTTCTTCCAACACTTTAAAAATCTTGCGAGTCCAGTCATCCCACGTTGGCGACCCATTACCCGTATTTTCCAACAAAAATAGAATAGAAGTAAGTTATGCCCTTTTAATACACAAATTATTAAACATTAAGCTGTGAATTATAAGCTCTAAAATATGAATTAAAGTTCTTTACATCAAATTAATGGCAAGGAAATTGACGGTTCAAGTGGCTTGACAAAATTTCCCTTGATATAATATTCGTGTGTAGTACACCTTCTTAACTTACGTTAAAATTTGTACGAACTAATGAAATGATACAGGGACAAAAATCAACATGGATGAAATTGCTACAAACCTGAAAGATGAGGGACCTAGAGTGTAACTTAACCTTATTTTTTCACGAGAATCTCCTTTTGTATCTTTAGATATTACTAAAAGAATAAAAAATATAAAGAAGGAAAGGCTCAAAAATGAGTATCCAGCCTTGCTTTATGTAGAGCCATCAATTGCCCCAAAATTATATTCCAAAATCCAAAAGCAGTTTTTATGGGACTTTTTATTTTTAGCCAAAAGAAAAGATATTCCATTTCGATTTCCATTTTCCACTGACATTATTACCATGCGACTGACCAATGTCCATCATCGGTACACTCTACCCCTCTATCTCTTCTATCACCACTTCAGTATCCATCCTCTTACCAAACCACTTATCTCTCTGAAACCCCCTAAATCTTCATCTATTATCAAAGCGCATTCCAGAACCGAAATCCGCAATTCTCCAATTGCGATTGTTAATCCTGCAATCAAGTCTACTGCTATGAGATTCCACAATCTTGTCCCAGTCAACGCCGTTGCTTTGGAGGACGGCGGTGGCTCAAATGGTGCAAGTGCTACTCCAGATCATTATGAAGGTATACTGTTAGTTTAATACATGGATAAATGAACTGTGATAAATATATATGGCTTTATTGTTTTGATGAATTCTTGGATTTGAAGTAGATGAAATTTCAATGGAAGTCCTTTAGGCGATGGATCGTTTTATCTTCTTGGTAATACTTTCTCAAAGTGTGTTTCCCAACTTTTGGAGGCGAAGTTTTGATTTGTAATTGTATGGATTTTTAAGTATAGTTTTTAATCATATGGGAAAATAGCCATTTGCTTCTTCTACAGCACCTGAAAACTTAAGAAACTTTTCTAGTTGATTGCGTGGGGGTGGTTATCTGTTTCCTGAAAATGTGAATTCCTCTTACTTTGTTTTTTGATTGCCAGCACTTGGTGGATCCATCAACAACGTGGCTGTATTTTTTCACTTGGTTTCTATGTTTTCAGGACACTTGTTTATTATTTGGGGCTTTGGATTTTCTGTATTACATTTTAAGAAATGTATTCTATTTGATTTACATTCCATGCCATCCCACGGCTTTTATGGATCCACATTTTAGATACATATTACCATTTACATTAATAGTTATTTCCTTTTTAGAGTTTTGTATAGATACCTTATATATGTTCCCTTTTCTTTAATTGTGAAATTTAACTTCTTGTATCAAATATAAACATTAGCAATATCTGTTATCCGCTCATGCACATCATGTGGTGGTTATATTTCACGTGCTTGTAGATTCGTCATTGAGCGACGGGTATCACCTTCCTCCACAAGAGATTATAGATATTGTTGATGCTCCACCCCTTCCAGCACTATCATTCTCTCCACATAGGNCTATATTACAGGACTTTTTGTTATTAATGCCTAAAAGGGTGAAGTTATCCCAGCATAAACTTTATTCTCTCTGTTTTTTTTTTGTTTTTTTTTCCTATTTGTAAGGTGAGATCTATGTGGTGTGGTTTTTACTCTGTTAGTATTAACCATTTACTGCCACTTGTTAGAGTAAATAAATTTGATAAAACTACTAATGAAGTGTGAACCTTTTGCCAAAAAGGTAATAATTATAAGTACAAAATCATTCATATATTATACATTTCAAACATGCTGGTATGGTACATACTGTCACTCATGGTGTCACTTACAGCACACTGCAATAGGTTTCTCTGGTGTTTTCTACTTGTTAATTTTGAAAAGAATCTGAATTTTGGATGACATCACTCGAGCTAATGTAACTTCTCATAATTTTCATGTTTCTAGGGCTTTTACTTAATTGATAAAATTTGAATATCTAGACCACATATCAGTTTTTTTTGTCTTTCAACTAGTGTGTGATTGCAATTTTTCCATTTTTAGAAGGAAAAAAGAGTTCTGTGCTTTACATCTTATTGAACTCAATGAAAGTGCATAGCAGGGAATGCAGAGTTTCATGTATGCAGATATATGGTTAGTGTAGAGAAAGTGCATTTCCTAGTACAGTAGATGTACAAACACAAGATTTCCAAAGAAAAAAACATTGAGCTAGTACATTTAAGTAGTTATTTTGTGCAAATTATTTCGATCATTCTATGACTCACCTCTTTTGTCCTACTAGGTCGAATGATGGTCGGCATCTATCCTTTAGTGTACGAATTGATGAGGTATGTTGCTCCATTTTGTTGTCTGGGTGCCAGCTGTGTAACGATATATGTAACATCAATATAACTAGATTGTTGTCAATACGATACCATGTTGATACGCCTTAAATTGCCGACTTCACTTGCTAGAATGTCACATAATTCATCTAGGAACTTAGGTTAAGAGAGACGTTCTTATTCAATGCAAGTGCACCACTCAAAATAATATTATTTCCTTATTTCTTCAAATTTCAATGACCTCTTGTTTTTATGTTTTGCTTTTATTTTAAACAGGAGGATGGCATTAGTAGCATGCTAAGAGTATGGGTTGCAGATGTGGAAACAGGAAAAGCTAGGCCACTATTTGAGTCGTCAGATGTGTTCCTAAATGCAGTTTTTGACAAGTATGTTTAAACTTTTTTGAAGGTTAGTGAATAATGATTATATTAACATCTATCTTATCTATGCTTCTCAGCTTTGTTTGGGTGAACAACTCAACTCTATTGGTTTGCACCATTCCTTTTTCTCGCGGAGACCCCCCGAAGAAACCTCTAGTTCCCGCTGGCCCTAAGATACTATCTAACGAACAAAAGGACACCATTCAAGCCAGAACTTATCAGGATCTTCTCAAAGATGAATATGATGAAAGCTTATTTGAGTACTATGCCACTTCACAACTGGTTTTGGTATCCTTGGATGGGACGGAAAAGCCAGTTGGACCACCAGCTATATATACATCTTTGGATCCTTCTCCAGATGAGAAATACATTTTGATTACTTCGATTCACAGACCTTATTCATTTATTGTACCATGTGGAAGATTTCCAAAAAAAGTTGATGTTTGGACAGCTGATGGGAAATTTGTTAGAGAACTTTGTGATTTGCCCCTTGCTGAGGACATCCCTATTACACACAATAGTGTTCGTAGAGGGATGCGCTCAATTGATTGGAGAGCTGATAAGCCTTCTACACTTGTCTGGTATGCACCTTGGTACATTATGTTCTTGTCTTGTGCAATTTGGCAAATGTTGTGCAGAATGAAAATGATTACTCACCTTGTTATTGTACGCTTGACATATTGCTTATGGAATTTTTTTTTGCTGAATTATGAATAGGGTTGAGACACAAGATGACGGTGATGCCAAAGTAGAAGTCTCTCCACGTGATATAGTTTATACACAGCCTGCCGAGTTGCTTGCTAGTGAACAACCAGCAGTTCTGCATAAGCTTGATTTGCGCTATGGGTATGAATACAAGCTGTCCCGCTGTACTCTGCCTTACGATTTAATGGATCATCTAGGTTATGTCCACTAGAATATTTTACATTCTACTATTATTTTCTTGATTTCGTCGTTTTTTGAGGCTTTCCAATAGGATATCTGCTTGAGTCAATTTCATCATAGCTTATAAATTGCATACATGTTTTAATGACATTCTCTAAGACTCGTTATCTTACATTTATGCTACTGTTGTATTCATTTGATAGTATATCTTAAAATTGATCCTACAGTTGGATGTGGCTTTGAGTTTGAGCATAGTCATTGCTTCGTAATTTAATGTCTTTCTGCTGGAACTCCTTTATCCTGTGACATATTATTCTTTGTACCTATATTTTTCAAGTCATTCTCATGAACTCTTAAGGAGCAAACCACTTTCCTGGATGGATTAATGACTGTACAACTATATCAAGAATATGCTTGGGAGAATCTGCATTTCCGCTGTGGAATATATTGATTGACCTGACCGGGGCTTCTGTACAAATATAAGTCATGAACATGTCGGATCTACTTGAAATTCAAATATTTGTTTTTCGTAGCCATGACTGAAATTTGTAGTAGTACCCATAAGAGTGCTACAATCATCAATAACTCCATTTGTCATGTTTTTCTAATATTTTCATGTCCATTATGGTGGCTTCATATTTCTGACTCCTTACTCCTTTTCACAGAGGGATCTCTTGGTGTGATGATTCGCTGGCATTAATTTATGAATCTTGGTATAAAACACGGAAAATAAGAACATGGGTTATTTCGCCTGGATCGAAGAATGTGAATCCACGCATACTATTTGATCGGTCTTCTGAGGATGTTTATTCTGATCCCGGCTCTCCTATGCTGCGAAGAACTCCTGCTGGTACTTATGTGATTGCAATGATGAGGAAGGAAGGTGATCAAGGAACCTACTTGCTGTTGAACGGAAGTGGTGCTACTCCACAAGGAAATATCCCCTTTTTGGATTTATTTGACATGTAAGTTTGATATATTTCTGTTTGTCATCAATCATTGGCAACTGGGTGATCTGATATTAGTTATTTCAGAAATACAGGCAATAAAGAACGTATATGGGAGAGTGACAAGGAGAAGTATTATGAGACTGTTGTTGCTCTGATGTCTGATCAGACTGAAGGGGAATTATATGTTGATCAGTTAAAAGTACTGACTTCAAAAGAATCTAAAACTGAAAACACCCAGTATTTCATACTGAGTTGGCCAGGAAAGAAAGCATGCCAGATTACGAATTTCCCTCATCCTTACCCTCAGTTGTCTTCCTTGAAGAAAGAAATGATCAGGTACGAGAGGAAGGATGGGGTACAACTTACTGCTACCCTATATCTTCCACCGGATTATGACCCTGCTAGAGATGGACCCCTTCCATGTCTAGTGTGGTCTTACCCTGGAGAGTTCAAAAGCAAAGATGCAGCTGGACAAGTCCGTGGTTCCCCAAATGAGTTTGCTGGCATTGGTCCGACATCTCCTCTTCTTTGGCTAGCAAGAAGGTGTGAATTTCTTCTCCCCTCTGTTCAGTTGAGATACTATCTTGCTTATGTCGCTCATCAATTATCCCAAGCTTGCAGGTTTGCCATTTTATCTGGACCAACTATACCAATCATTGGTGAGGGTAATGAAGAGGCAAATGATAGGTATGGTAAATGCTTCCAAGGCCTCATATTGTTTTAATAAAAATGTAAAAGAGCTATTTTTTTTTATTTTTATTTTTTTTTAGGATAAAAAACTGAAACTACTATAAGATTTGGCCTTCTTCTGAATAGTGGAAAATTTTGTAACTATGGGTGGTCTGCTGCCAACTGGATGTAGAAAAGAGTCAGGAATGCTAAGTTGTTTACTTGTAATAAGAATGATAGAGACTTAGATGAATCTCTATGCAATTAATACAGTAGAAACGTAATTAAAGACATTCTGAGTTTATAAATCATTCAAGTGGGTCCTACCACGACTGGGAAGTAGAAACTTAGTCCTCTCAGCATTAAAATTCAGATGTTGCAAAATGTTGAAACATGAATGAAAAAGACATGCTTAAGATATTTACACCTTTTGAAGGTGATGAAATCAACTCACTTTGTCATGGCTCCCCTTTTCATCTCTTGGAAGCTACACCAGATGTAGGATTTAATTTTTCTTTTGTAGGTTCTATTTGGATTATGTGTTGAAGGCTTGAAGTAACTTCAGATGTCATACTACATTTTAGGTCCAATACTGCATAAAATATTTTATTTCCTATTAGTCATTTCCTCATCTTTTCCTATTAGGTGTTCCATTTATCCTGAACTCTACATTCCTATTCTTTTGCATCATTTAGTTTTGTCTATATAAAATAATCAGACTGGATATTTAGAAGGTTGTTGTTTTACTATGCCTAGAAAATTAAGCTCCGCATTATTTAATACCAAGACTTAATGTCCTATAATTTTCTTCCATGGAAATTTGAAGAAATAAATTTCTGTATTGAATTGGATTGTATATTTACAAAGGCCTACCACATCTTATTTATATTACACGACATAGTCAAGAAAAGGAAAAATAAATCTGCTACCTATGGAAGCAATTTCACCTTCCATATATCCTAGACACGTAATCTTTAATTCATGAAACTTTTCATATCCTAATTCCTATAGTATATGGCTTCCTACACTTCCTCTTAAGTTGAACTGTAGATGTTGATCATGTTCAACTTGTAAATGAGTTCATTGAAGATTTGTCAAGGCAATCCTTTGGTGAAAATATCGACAGTTTGTTCCTTTGTAGGGACAACTCATACAAATGGTTCCATCGTCCACTTTTCTTTAATGAAGTGTCTGCTTACCTCTACTTGTTTGGTTCTGTCACGTTGTACTGGATTGAGGGGAATGTTGATTGCTGCTTTGTTATCACAATATAGTTTGATTGGATGTTCTATGTTAACTTCTAGTTCTTCTAGGAGTTTCTTTATCCATAATCCTTCACGTATCATTTGTGCAATTGTTCTAAATTCAGCCTCAGCACTGCTCCTTGCTACTACATTTTGTTTTTTGCTTCTCCAAGTAACCAAGTTTTCCCATGCAAATGTACAGTAGCTAGTGGTGGTTTCCGATCGATGCGCTCCGCTCCTCTCACTCCGCTCTGCCCCGACATTGGCCCATTTAATCCAGAACCTGTGTTTCACTCTATATGAGTCACATGCACAACATATATACAGCCTCCAGGTGAGCCTCTTTGGGAGAATGCATATGTTGGCTTACCATGCTAACCGCAAAAGCAATGCCGGATGTAGTGTGCAAGAGATAGATTAGCTTTCTGAATAATCTTTGGTATCCGTCCATTTCCATCGAGTTTCCTGCGTCCTTTATTTTCCTGCCTCAATAGGTGTGTCGATTGGTTTGCATCATAGCATGCAAGTTTCAGTTAAGAGGTCAGTGATGTATTTCCGTTGTGAGATGTTGATGCCCTTTTTTGATCTTGCAATCTCCATCCCTAAAAAATACCACATGATTAAGCACTTTTTTAATCTTTCCATTTTTGTTATGTTGTCCCCGGTTAGAATTATATCATCAACATATACAATTAAGATCGCCTTTTTACCGTCTTTAGATTGTTGAAAGAACATAGTATGATCAAATTGCCCTTGCTGGTATCCCTGAGTTTTCAAAACCTTTGCAAATTTATCAAATCATGCTCTGGGTGATTGCTTGAGACCATATAGACACTTCCTGAGTTTGCATACTTGATTTTCTTCATTACATTTGTTGAAGCCTGATGGTATTGTCTGTAGACTTCTTCTTCCAATTCGCCGTTCAAAAATGTATTCTTAATGTCTAGCTGTTGGAGGGGGCCAGCTAGATTTGTTGCTAAGGATAGAAGAACTCGAACTGTATTTAGTTTTTCCACCGATGCAAAAGTTTCTGTGTAGTCTATCCCACATGTTTGCGTATACCCTTTGGCAACTAGACGTACCTTATAGCGTTCTATTTCCCCATTGGCCTTATACTTCACATTGAAAATCCATTTGCATCTAACTGGTCTCTTTTCCTTTGGGAGGTTCACTACTTCCTAGGTTTCATTTTTCCTTAGAGCTCTCATTTTCTCCACTACTGCCTCTTTCCATTGTGGTGATTTCAGGGCGTCTAAACGTTTCTTGAAATTCCTGTTTTATCGAGGTTAGCTGTGAAAGCACGAAATCTTGCAGATAGATTATTATAAGATGTAAATTTTGAGATGAGATGAAGGGTACATGATCGAGTTTTGTTTTATGAGAGTGATAGGTAGATCATTATCAGGAGATATGTTTTTGTCGAAGTTCTCATCTCATCAGGTTCTACCACTGATTTTGACTATTTTGGTGCCTAAGGTGTGTGGGTTTCTTTGTACTTTGATTTGGGATTTTTTGAGTAAACCAGAATCTCCTTGTCACTTTGTTATCCACTATCTGCCCCTGAGTTCAAGTTTTCTTTTGTATATTGCATGGTAGAAGGTAGGTTGACGGATTTGTATATTGGTTAGGCGGAAAAAATTAACATCTAAGAATTCCTGATCAAAAAATCGATCATCTTTACTTAGATTCTCCCCCTGTAAAGAAGGTTTTTGGAAGTAAGGTGTTTTTTCGAAGGTGACATCAAGGCTGACAAAGATCTTGTTGGTAGATGGGTCATAACATTTATAACCTTTTTGAGTGGGTGAGTACCCGATAAATACACACTTGATCGCACGGGGTTCAAGTTTATTACGAAGATGGGAATGTATGTGTACAAAGGTTGTACTACCAAATACTTATACGGGTAGGTTTGAGTTAAGACTAGAATTAAGAAAGTATTTTTGGAATCGTTGTATGGGTGAGTCAAAGGAGAGAGTACGGCTAGGCATACGGTTGATGAGGTATGTAGATGTCAAGACTACATCACCCAAAAATGTTTTAGGCATATTCGTAGTAAACATTAAGGCACGAACAACCTCAAGTAGATGTCTATTTTTCGTTCAGCGATCCCATTTTGTTGGGGAGTGTTGATACATGAACTTTGGTGGACTATTCCATGTTTCGTTAGATAATCTTGTAAAGTGTTATTGAAGTATTCGGTGCGATTGTCAGTTCGTAAAATTTGAAATTGTGTTTGGAATATAGATTGAAAGTTTATAAATACTGATCGGACATCGATTTTTTCCTTTAGTAGGTATATCCAACAAACCCTAGTATGATCGTCAATGAATGTGACGAACCATTTTGTGTGTGTACGATTAGGGATTGCGGGAAGGTCCCCATAAGTCGCTATGGATCATGGCAAATGGTGTAGATGGTTTGTATGTAGACTTGGGAAAAGTTGAACGTTGATGTCTTGCAAGTTTGCAATTTTCACATTGAAATTCAATTGAAGTCTTATTGAAAAAATTTGGAGGGAGTACACGTTTCAAGTATGGAAGACTAGAGTGGCAAGCCATAACAAAAGTTCACTATCACTAGAAACAGATGCAGAATTACAGTTATTAAGTTGATCTAATCTACTCACATCAGCTTCCTCGAAGTAGTATAGTCCCTTACATTCTTTAGCACTGTTAATCGTCTTCCCCAATGAAAAGTCCTGAAATACATAGTAAGATGGAAAGAAGTTAGCAGAGCAATTGGAATTTTTTGTTAGTTAGCTAATAGATAGTAAGTTATAAGACAAATTTGGGACATGGAGGACATAATCAAGTGTTATGGATTCAGAAATTCGAATACCCCATTTTCTCGCAACTGAAGAGAGCGAACCATCTGCAATTTTCACTTTAACACCTCCATAACAAGTTGAATATGACGAGAATAGTTGGAGTGAACCATCATGTGATCGGATGCACCCGAATCAATAATCCAAGGGGTTTTATATTTTGTCGTGCTTAAAGGCACCTTATGGGCTAGAGAGCTAGTACTTTTGGAAGAGGGCTGTCCAGATGTTTGAAGGCTAGAGAATATTTGATAGAGTTGTTCCATTTGTTTGGAATTGAATGCACCACTTGAAGTAGAATTTATTGTCTCAGCTTGGTATCCCCTGTTTCGAGTATTTTGCCTTGGCGTCCAGTCTGTGAGTTTTCCATGAATTTCCCAACACGTATCTTCTTTGTGCCTTGGCCTCCGGCAATGTTCACACCATAGTCGTCTGCATTGTTGTTTTTGGTTTGACCCGTTTGTCGCCCCTTTTAAAGAAAAGCCCAATACTCCATCTCACTTTTTAAGACCAGGCTTCAAGCCCATTAACTTTAAACTTGCAGGTCCAGATCCATTGATACCTGGCCCAACAGATTTTGGCCCAATTGACTTTGACATTTTAAAAGGCGGCCCAACTCCATTATTCTTAGCATTGAGGGCTGACATCTCTCCAGCAAGTTCGGCCGTCTCCTTCATCATCACCAATCGCCGTGCTTCTTCTTGGCGAACCTCTGCGAACACCTCACTAGTTGGCGGTATTGGTCGTTGACCCAAAATTCTGCCTCTCACGTCATCTAATTCACGGTTTAATCCTGCAAGAAACTCATAAACTCTTTCGTTCTCCTGCATCTTTTTGTACAGAGAGCAATCATTAAGGCACTTCCATTCCTCTTCTATATTGAGGTCTAATTCTTGCCAGAGGGTCACCATTTCCATGTAATAGTCTGTTACATCCCTGGGTCCTTGTTGAGTTTGCCAAAGTCGAGTCTTTATTTCAAAGATATGAGACGAGTCTTCAGAATTTGAGTGGGTCTCTTACTGAGTCCCTAACGTCCTTTTGCAGTCGGGAGAAAAAGATGTCTTACTAATGGCTGGTTTTGTGGAAATCACCAACCAAGTAACCACTTCTGCAACACGGCAGCATCCGTTGGTCTCTTGGTCTCACTAACCCAACTTCCCTTTTTCTTCAATTACTAGTTTTACGGATTGGGCCCATTCACGGAAGTTCCTTCCATTCAACTTCTTTACCGTGAGTTGGAAGGAAGAGTTTTCAAGTCCCAGCGTACCAATTGAATGACCAACCTCTGTTTCGAAGCTTGACGTTTCAGAGGTTGTGGACTCCCTACTATTGGTGGGGAATTCCGCCATGTTTTGCTAGGTTTAGAAACCTGGCTCTATATCATGAAGAAATAAATTTCCGTATTTAATTGAATTATATATTTACCTAAAGGCCTACCACATCTTATTTATATTACATGACATAGTCAAGAAAAGGAAAAATAAATCTTCTAATTATGGAAGCAATTTCACCTTCTATATATCCTAGACACATAATCTTTAATTGATGGAACTTTCCATATCCTAATTCTTACAGTATCCGGCTTCCTACAGAATTTATAATTTGAGTCTCTCCTGTAACTTCTACTGCTACACATTTGTTGCTTTTTTACTCAAATCAATGTCCAAGTCATTTGACTTATCATGACCCTGTGCTTTGTGCTTAAACAATGATGGGTGTACAAGCTTTTCATTTTTCCATTCAGACGTGAAGTAATTTTTGTACGCATCAGGTATGTGGAGCAACTAGTTGGAAGTGCAGAGGCTGCAGTGGAGGAAGTCATCGGTCGGGGAGTAAGTTTTCCTGCTCTTTTCTTATCATTACTCAATAGCTTAATTTGGAGACTAGAAAGGATTAATTTTGGAGTTGCCCCCCTCTAAAGGTGGCTCATCGAAGCAAAATTGCCATAGGCGGTCATTCCTATGGGGCTTTCATGACTGCTAACCTTCTAGCTCATGCACCTCATCTGTTCTGCTGCGGAATTGCGCGCTCTGGAGCATATAACAGAACGCTTACACCTTTTGGGTTTCAGGTAGAGATATCCTCTGATTTCTTTTCCCTGTAGTTTTGGCCTTTTCAATACTGGGGGAGGATTAGCATATAAATGTTGGGTGCGAGAGTTGCTTTTTATTCCCTAGACTATACTTTTATTTTGCATGGTATGTCAATTCTCCAACTGTTGTTTCACAGAATGAGGATAGGACACTTTGGGAGGCTACTTCGACCTATGTTGAGATGAGCCCTTTCATGTCAGCTAATAAAATTAAGAAGCCTATCTTGCTTATCCATGGAGAAGAAGACAACAATTCTGGAACCTTGACAATGCAGGTCTGATCCTGTTTATTTTGATTTTGATTTTTTTTTCTTAAAATAAAATGGAAATAATGTGATTCTCCGTACCTCTCTCTCTAACTTGTCTAAACTTGTGGCAGTTGACGTTTATGCTGTTAATGCTGAGCTTCTTTCTTATTCTTGAAGATTATCTTCTTTGTTCAAACCAGATTAATTTATGTTATCTGTATCGTTTGCAATGATGCAGTCCGATCGCTTCTTTAATGCTTTGAAAGGTCATGGTGCACTTTGTCGCCTGGTTATTCTTCCCTTTGAGAGTCATGGTTATGCGGCACGAGAGAGTGTCTTGCATGTTCTCTGGGAGACTGACAGGTGGCTACAGAAATACTGTGTACCAAATTCATCAGATGCAAGTGAAAATTTGGATGCACATAAAGATGATGCGAGTATAGGCACAGTAGATGCAGATAGCAAAGCTGTCAGTGCAGCTGGGGGAGTTCCAGAATGGGCAGATGACAAAATTGATATATTTCCCTCTCCCTGTAGGTCTTCATTGTGGTAATGATCTCATCTTTCACTAGAGCTCGTCTTTTAAGTAACTTTTTGTTTTCAAACATGCTTGGATAACGGACTTTTACTTATTTCTAAGTAAAAACATACGTAATTTGGAAAGTAAATCTTACATTCCTGCCAAAATAATTAACTTATTTCAACTCTGACTATTAACAAAAATTGTGTTTGAAACTAATTTACTTATGAGTGAACTTTTTAAGCTTAGCCCTACATGCTCCACATTTGCAAAATGGAAACAAGTCATTAGATGGAAGTGCAAAATCACTCCCCTTTGTGTGCATGAATCTATGCTTCTGCTTCTTCTATGGAGGATATATGAAATATAAATATATGCGATTAGTTCCTTTGCGACTACTCTTTCTTTTGAGATGTTAGCTGCAAAATTGCAATAGAATAAGGATCACGCCCACGCTTATGCCTATAATTGGATATTTCTTTTGTCATCACTCAATTTTTTTAGGTTCATCATCTCATTTCTTTCTTGTGTGAGGCAAATTGTTTATAAATAAGGGTAGATGAGTAGTAAATAGTACTTGTGAATTTAATGAAATATGTGAAAAAAATGTGATTTGATCAAATAGTATTTTTGACCTAGCTGTTTATGAGCACCTAGAAATAATGAGTCAAAGCATTAGCACAAAATGTCTCTATGTTTAAAGTTTATTATGCAAAAGTCCCTACTTTTTATTTTTATTTATTTATTATTATTATTTTTTACATTCACCCCTAGTTACACATTTCATTATGGAAATCATCATTTTTATCAAATTCTCTAAGTTTATTAAATGGGGTTTTCTGCACCTTGAAGGTTGTTTCCGCATTTTAAGCCCTTGTTTGATCCCCATTTTTTGTAAAAAATGAATTATTGAATAGTGTTTTGACCTCATTTCAATCACAAATTCTTTAATAAAATAATATTGCATGTGAATCCAAAAATTTTCCTTATTTTTTAACCATATATTTTCCATCAATACACTATTCAAAAATCATTTCTTTGACAAAAATGAGGCTCAAACAAGGCCAAAGTTTCAAATAAGGATGTTTTTCGTTGATTCCCTCACCTGAGTCAAGATGGAAAACTGGCTAATTTAACGTGATTGGAGTCATCCACAGCAAGGAGTCCCTGTATCTTAGTTTGTCCTTGGATTTTGGTTATTTCACTATACATTTGTAAGTTACTCCACTTCTTTTGGTTGCGCCATTCATGCCTTTTGAATCGCTGCCAAAGTTCCTTTCAGAAAGTTTCACTTCTGGTCACTTAAGAATTATGGCATGTTTGTTAAGTCAGAAAGTATTAAGAAAAATAAGTTAGAATCTTGTCTATTTTAGTGTCTAGTCTTATTTAGTATTGCGTAAAAAAAAAAAAAAGAGGTATACAACACAGGCATCTTCACATTCACCCTATCCATTAGAGGTTTTTCTTTTTCAGTTTTCAGAATCTGTTATTAATATTTGATAAATTGTTGTATTGCACTTTCTTAGCCTCGAATTCTTAAATATCTAACCTAACTCTGGTGCAGATAGTAGTGATTTAGCTATAATGGATGAGAAAGCAGATCACGTGATTCTAACACAAGGCTTCCCTCCTGCGAACTTGCAGCGTTTAGTAAAGTAGAAAAGTCTCAAGTGACCTGATGCTGTTGCATGTCTCAACCGATATCCTCTTGTACTTTCTTCGAACCTGATAAAAGGTATTTGGCTTATTGAGGATGCAACGAAGTTTATGCCAAAAAATTGCAATTCTTAAAAGCCATTTTTTTTTGCCATCTTTTGATGTCGAAATTACTTTTTCAATATTTGCAATGCTCTACAAGTATTTGTAGAACGGTACATTTGATGTGCACGAAATAGTCGCATACTATTTCATACGTATCTTCTCTACCATTTTATGAAGTATATGAACAAGTATTTAGAATGAAATGTGGCTTGGTATCTTGGACAAACTGCAGCTGCGAGTAATTAAGGGGCTAAGTACATATGCGATACTCGACACTTGGACATCGAATGTTATGCATGATTGGTATAATGTAGTGTAGCAGTAAAAGCACAAAACTATCAGATTTTCCAAGATAAAAGCCAATTTTTTCTCGCTAGAACTGGATGGAAAGAGTGAAGAAATCGAAGGGGAGATAAAAATTTTCATACCAAATCTTAAAATTCTCGTCTTGTGCAATCACAGACTGGATTAAGAGTAAGGAATTAAGTTGGAATTACAACCAATGAATGAAATAAGCACATTTTTCTTATCAATCAGGTCTCTTAAGCCCCGAGTCATAAAGTAATATTAAAGAGGGTTCGATCCCTGTTACATGCAGTGGGATGGCTGATTTGACGAGATATCCCATGCCAAGATTACTCATCAACGAAATGAATTTGTTGAGAAGGTACAATTCAAACCTTCTCATCGTTAGCTATGGACACTTGTACCTTCCTACAAATTAAAATTGTGACTATCCAAACAAGACTTTTCACCACCCTAACCATTCCAATTGTGACAGTTAAGTAATACAACCACCAATCCATAAAATCAGCCACCTCAATACTTATCATAAGCTCCCTTTTGATCTCCGCCAACACCACTAGTGGCTCCATCTCATCCCTCAGCCTCCACCACCACAAGCCACCAAAAGTAAAGGCCATAGCCACCTTTTCAACACACTTCTCCTCCCTTGAGCAACCGAACACCGTGTCATCCACCACCGGCTTCACAACATTTCTCGACCAAAACAGCATTGTCTCGTGCAATCCCAAGAAGAAAATTACTCTGCATAAAGGACTCCTGTTTACGTCAAAACGCAAGCCATCTATTCCGGCAGCTATACTCCCTTCAATCCCCAAACCAATGCAAACTTGTACCGCGCAAAGAAAAACCCAAGCTGCATACAGACGAGGTTTGGCCACTTGCTCGACCAATGGTCTTAAAAATGCAATTTTACCCGTCAGGCCATGTGTAAGAGCTGCAAAACTAAGAAGAGAAACCAAGAAATGGAGAATGCTTGGCTTGATGGATAAGAAAAGAGTGCATAAAAGGGAAATGGGCTTCATCCCGGGATAATTATCCAAGACAGATAAAAGATAGCGCGCGGTGGAGAGTCGAGCAAGAATGAGGAATGATAGCGGGAGGACGAGGCTGAGGAGGGTGGTTGTGAGGATTTGGAATGCATCCCTCGCGGCAGTCCAACCCCAATTTTTCTTCACATTTTGTTGACAATTTGTTTCCGAATTTGAATCCATTTGATTAACCAAAGACACCAATTCTTCAAAAGAAAGTGTTTATAAACAACATAATATTGGCATATGTATCAGATTATGAAACATATATAGTAAATTGAAGCAATATAAAGTGGTTTGCACGTCTTAATTGGTTGACATAGAAAATGCTGACATTTGACCGTGCCTACATTTAGGCACATCACATTCATTTCTATTGCAAGTCATCCCAATAACCAATGATTAATACTTAAATGATAAAATAAAACTGATGTTTCTACTCGTCAAATGGGTCGAGGATGGCACATTGTTGCCTTCTTACCGTAAAAATTTAGCCGTTCCAATTATGGAAAGAATATAAACATGAATAAAATAATGAGCTCCTACTTAGAGAGGTGTAAAAG